TCATCCAAGTACACATTTTACTGTTGCGTTAAACAGAGGCTACAGTTAAGGAATTGCGCCCAGTAAATCCTCCCCGGCCAGGATACGAACCCATGACATAGCGCTCGCGGAACGCCAGGCGAGTGTCTTACCACTACACCACGGAGACTGTGTAATTTATTTAGATGATACTTAGGTGAATCGTTTTCTGCGTTCAGTGATGATGCATCTGATACAAATAGCATAGATGAACAGTGCTAGTGGCTTCCATGGTGGTGTTTTCCATAGATATTTTCAAGAATACCTGAATCTCTTCCCAACTGATGGACACTCTTGAGGCTAGCTGAATCTCTTCCTGACTGACAGACACTCGTGAGGTAAGCTGAATCTCTTCCTATGTGGGACCATACAAAGCGATCTTTTCAAGACTACCTTACAAATTGATCTTTTCCTATAATCTTTTCAATACTACCTTATGCTTTACAAGCTTGGTTACATACAACCTACAAGTTCTAAAGCCAAGGGTGTACATGAGTGCGTTATTTGCAAGCACACAGAATGAAGAAATAGGAACCGAAAATGTATCTGTACCTGGTGCACTGAGAGCGAAGTCGCGCTGTGTACCATCTTGAAGTTATCTTGAGATGATTTCGGGGCTTTTTAGTGTCCCCGCGGCCCGGTCCTCGACCAGGCCTCCACCCCCAGGAAGCAGCCCGTGACAGCTGACTAACTCCCAGGTACCTATTTACTACTAGGTAACAGGGGCATTCAGGGTGAAAGAAACTTTGCCCATTTGTTTCTGCCTCGTGCGGGAATCGAACCCGCGCCACAGAATTATGAGCAATGATTTATTGAATTACGAGCTACTTCATTGATTATTACTCACTTCTGAAGTACTGAGTGTGTAATACAGTGTGTTACTGTGTAAATAGTGTGTGAAACTGTACATATTGTAATTTTAGTGGTTTTTTAACAGGTAATATTGGGACAATAAACATTTATTGTGGACACATTACTAACACGTGTATCACAGTTCCATGGAACATTATGAACATTCTACTGTATACATATTGTAAAGGACACAAATATGCATCATATACGATAAAAAACTAATAAAACCACATTGGAAATACATAAAACAAATAATTGAAAATATATTTGTGGCAACACCCGGTGCTTGAATGGCCCGCGCGACCGTGTCTGAGCGAGTCACACACAGGCGACCAGGCCCTGATGACATCACAGTGCATCTTGTCCACGTCCCTACAGCCAAAGTAAGTAGAATTTGGTACTTATTTTTACATAGACATGTTCAGGGAAGGAAATTTATCATTTTACGAAGAAAAAATAATTTTTTGGAACACTTCATTTCATGCGCACCAGGGGAATTTCTCAATAAACTCCGCACAGCACGGTGGTTAAAGGATGAAAATTACCCTTGTGGTGTCCCACCTTCCCAGTACTATTTGTCATATTATGCTTTGAAACTACTGACTGTTTTGATCTCCACCACCTTCTCACTTGACTTATTCCAACCATCTACCACTCTGTTTGCGAAAATTAATTTTCTTATATTTCTTTGGCACCTTTGTTTCCTTAGCTTGAATCTGTATCTTCTTGTTCATGAAGTCGTTGGTTTCAGGAATTCCTCTTTGTCACTTTTGGTTGATTCCTGTTAGTATTTTGTAAGTGATGTTCATATCACCTCTTTCTCTTCTGTCTTCTACCTTTGGCATGTTTAACGCCTTTAGTCTTTCCTCGTAACTTTTGTTTTTCAGTTCCGGAAGCCATTTTGTAGCATGCCGTTGCACCTTTTCCAGTTTCTGTATGTGCTTCTTGAGATTTGAGTACCATACAACTGCTGCATATTTAAATTTTGATCTCACAAAAGTTATAAACAATTTCTTTAGTATTGAAAGTACATTGCACAAATGTACTTTCTTTGGCTGCAGTGGTGTCCAGAAAATTGGGTGTGACATCACGGCTCAGTGGTCACCCATAGCAGACTCCTATAGGCGGTCGCACACCCAATTCAACAAGCACGAGTTGTCACAAATATTTTTATGTTCATTTTTTCTGCACAATTGCAAATGCATTTCTTTTCTTTTTTTTCTGGCATATCCTATGTGTATTAAACATGTATACAGTATTCAGGCATTAGAACATCCATACTGTTCAAAGAAACTGTGTTGCATGTATCACAAATGTGTCCACAAACTTTGTTCATATTTTCCATATTACATGATCAAGTATTTACATTTACAACCTATTTACACTCTGTACACTATATACAACACTATCTACACAGTACTGCACGAGTGTGTGATTAGTCACTGAAGCAGTCAACAGCGCACAAGATAACTTTGCACTCATTGCACCAAGTGCAGACAGATTTTCACTTCTGTTCCTTATGTTGCATGTTTTTGCAAACAATGTTGTCACATTTACCCATTTCATGTGTTCCTGTGCTTGGCATATAACCAAGCTTGTATACAGCAAGATAATCTTTACACTTGAGTCTGTCAGGAACTGAATAAGGCATTGTTGCTGGCATCTCCACACGTCACAACTCAGCCCTCCACCCCATATTTCACCTGTAGTTGCGACACTAGAGCAGCACTGAATGTACCGATTGGTGGTCTCTTGTCAGATTTCACGAGATACATGTTGAAAGAGTTCAGGACCCAGATTCATAAAGCAGTTACACAAGTACTTACTGTCAGGATGCTGACAGGGGCTAGCCTGTCAGCCTGTCTAGCCTGTCTAGCCTGTCTAGCCTGTCAAGTCTGTCAATCTTTTTCGCTTTGGTAGGGACGCGAGTCTTATTTTCCTCGGCGTCACCCCTTTTATATGAAAGGAACCGTCGGAAATGCATCCGAGGTGCCGTGTGGATACGGCAAAAATGAGGATCTTAAACATAATACAGGGGTACAAAACACAATCAAATCTGCCCATAGTAGGAAAACAGCATGTCAAAGATTTGGGAATAATGATGTCCGACGACCTAACGTTTAGGGAGCATAACCAAGCAAGTATTTCGTCAACCAGAAAAATGATAGGATGGATTACGAGAACCTTCAAGTCCAGAGATCCCATCACAATGGTTGTACTCTTCAAATCACTTGTGTTGTCCCGTCTTGAGTACTGCTCAGTACTCACTTCCCCCTTCAGAGCAGGAAAGATTGCTGAAATTGAGGGAATACAGAGAACATATATGGCACGCATAGATGAGATAAAGCCCCTAAATTATTGGGATCATCTCAAAGCTCTCTCGCAAGGCTCTGGGCCAAGGTGTCATTGACCCAACAGGCAGCATGACGGCGACTGTCACCCGGAGACAAGGGCACAGCAACCAATGATCCCGTACAAGACGGGTTGGAACCCGGAAGACACATTCAATGGTCCACCGAGCCCAGACAGGGGTTTCCAGGGCCCGTAGGCTGACTGCTACGGGAAGCCCGGGCAAGGTGTTGCTAAACCTGTTAATAAACCCAAAAATAACAAGAGGGTAGAGGGTAGCACTGAAAACCCCTGAGACGTGGACAATCACGGGGGCCTAGCAGAGGGCTGACAAACACTACCAGTGGAACTATAGCCACACTGGGCAGACCCCCACCAGGCAATTGAAAGTAAAAACAAAAGAAAACCCCCGCAAAAGTACACCCTCTCCCGAGGCAACAGGAACCGCTCGCCGCTTAGGTAGTAGGCCACGCAACACCTTGACACCCTAACCAGCACAGTACCAATCCCTTCCCAAGCCCAAACAAGGGCCCCAAGCCCCAGCTGGCCCCAAGGGCGAGGCAAATGCCGAGCAGGAAGAACCCCTATGGGAATGGTTCCCGAACTCCCCAGGGAAGATAACCCTGTTACGCAAGGGTAGTACTCACAGGGCGCTTAGGGAAGTCAGCCACTAAGCACATGCAGCCCCGGCACTGATGAGGTACTCTGGCCACCACACAACACAACACACGGCAGTGAACGCCACACAAGGCATACACCGCCTAGGAAACTGAGGAGGATAGAAGCGTCTATCCCGGTTGACATTAGCTTATGAACTGAAGCTTGGCACCCAGCGCGGTAGGTCCGGGGCTCCCCCTTCCCCTTCTCGGGGCGGGGAGGGCTGCGCGGACGATCAGCGCGGCAGTAAAGTATGATGTTTGCTTGGGATTGTAGGGAGTTTCTACCTGTCTGTTCGGTTTTTTGTTTTAGTTTTTTACCATGTGGGGTTTGTTTTGTTATGCCTACCTTTCTGGGTGCCTAACCCTTATCGATGGCAGATAAGGAAATCCCCAACCACAAAGGGGTTTTCCAGAGCCATTGCTCCCTGAAACCTCTCTGAAGGGGCCATGTTCTGGCACTGGTCCCTGGTAGGTCTGAACTCCTTAGCTAATGTCCTGGTCTAATATAACTTACATTAGCCTGATGAGCTCCAGGGAGCCTCCGGGGCTCACCCAGAAAATGGCATTTCATTACATTCAACGCTGGTTTGTTTACATTTTTAGATGATGCTGTGGTCACAAGCTGAATAGCAGTGCTGTGAGTTCATGCTGCATGCACCAGCCTTGGTGGCTCACTCAGTACTGAGGCCCCCACACCCGGGAATGTTGCCCACGGTTTAAAAAAAAAATGGCGTCTGTTTACAATGCCCTGAGGAAGGTGATGTGAACCCCGTGTATCTGCAGGCAATTTAAATCTTACGTAGTACTCTAAAACGTCATATGATGTGATGCGCACTTTTGGGCAAGTTACTCAACACGTCATATGACGTGTTGCGCAGTTTAATGGTTAATTGAACAATTAAGTAATAATATTTGTATGCATGTTTTATAACTTAACTAAGTTTCTATGCACTACAGTAGGAAATACTAAAATAATAAATATTTTGTTTTATGTTGGATGTATTTTACAGTTAGTCTATAGCTCTTAGTTTGGAAGCTATAGATGAGCAAAAAAAAATTGTCATCATCATATAAATATAATAATGACTGATTACAATTGTTTTTGCCATTTATTCTCCCTAGCTTGGTACTTCAAATTGTGTATGCAAGTGTATCATTGTCTGGCTCAAGGATAGCATCGAGAGGTCCGGGCCTGTCAGACATACCTGCGTGGCTCTGGCTCATGGCCTTCATGTGGCCATTTTTACTCATCCCACTAAATGAAGTCATCAAAAGAAGAGAGATCAGGTCAGTGATATTATTGCAGCTCTCTCTTATACCTATTAGTTTTCGTGGAATTGCTTTCTATTTGGGCTCTTGCTTTATAATGTTTCCTTTATACTTCACAATTTTCTTTAATACTACCCCCATGTTCCTGGCTTTTATTTCCGGTCCCGAAATGGGACTGCGCAGACCTGCGGTTCATTCTGGACTTGTCCCATCTAAACCCCTGGGTTCATTGCCTCTCCTTTCGGATGACTACTCTATCCCAGGTTCGGCTCCTGTTGGAGCTGGGCACTTGGATGGTGCCCCTGGACCTCCGGGACGCTTATTAGCACATCCCGATTCATCCAGGATTCAGGGACTGACTCGGTTTTGTTGTGGGGCTTCGTGCTTACTGCTTTCATTGTCTCCCGTTCGGGTTGAACCTGGCACCTCGCGTGTTCACACGCCGTACGCAGCTCGTGATGGCACATCTGCGTTTGTTAGGTGTTCGGGTCTTGGCCTATCTCAATGACTGGCTGGTTTGGGCTCACAGCCGGTCCTCTTGTCTGCTGGCCAGGGATTTGGAAATATGTCTTGGTCTGACATTCAGGCGTGGGGATTTTGGCGGTCGAACAGGATCCTGGCTGTTCATTACCTTGTTAACGTCCCTGGGCCCAGTCGGGCCTGTGTCGCTTTGGGTCGGCGGATAAAGCCAGTTGTCTCGACTTCGGGTTGAGGTGTGAGCGGTAACAGCCTCCCGGGTAAGTCCCTATTTTTTCCTCTGTGGGTAGTTAGCTCCGAGGAGCCGTAGGGGCTTCCCCCAGAAAACCAGCATTGAATGTAATGAAATGCCATTACAGTATCTGGGTGAGACCCGGAGACTCTGCAGCATCCCTCCCGCCCTCTGGTCGGCGGTTTTTCGCTTGTTTTGACATCCAGCCTCAGAACTGGGGTGTGAATCGCCGGTGTGGGAGGACTGGGGCTCCCCCTTCTCGCACCCGGGGAGGGAGGAGCTACGCAGACGGTGGCGCGGCAACGAGTAATGTCATATTTGTTTGTTAGTTTTTGTTTGAGGAGTTCTATCCACTCGCTCGGTTTTTCGTTGCAATTTTCACCAGAATAGGGGTTTGTTTTGGGACGCTTACCTTCCTGGGTGCCTGACCCGGTCGATGGCAGACACAGAATGCTTCCAACCACACGGTGGTTTCTATAGGCCATTGTTTCCCTTGCCACTCTAGAGGGGGCAGGTTCTGGCCTGTGGTCCCCAGTAGGCCCAAAGAACTCCATACACATGACTGATGCCAAAATCTGACATTAGCATATAAGCTTAGTAAGCTCTGGGGAGCCTCCGGGTCTCACCCAGAAAATGGCATTTTATTACATTCCACGATGGTTTTTTGGACGCTTTCCTTTCTGGGTGCCTGACCTGGTCGATGGCAGGTATAGAATGCTTCCAACAACACTGGGGTTTCTATAGGCTCCTCGTGCCTCTCTGAGGGGGCCCGGTTCTGGCTTGGGTCCCCAGTAGGCCTAGAACTCCAATACGCATCGACTGATGCCAGGGTATAATACATTCATATCAGCCCAGTTAGCTCCGGGAAGCCTCCGGGCCTCATCTAGAAAATGTTGTTTCCTTACATTCAACACTGTTTTTTTCTGAAAATTTGTACATGTGCACCATGAGGTTGTCAGCACTTAAAAATGCCCCCTGTGCAGGGGCTTAGGTTCCAGTCAATTTTAGGTATAATGTAGCTCCATCATTCTTTAAATGTATTTGGTTAGAAAGTATCTTGTATAAGTTTCTAATTTGATTATTTATTATATTTCCAGAGTAAACGTCAGGTACCAGAAGAGAGCAAGACTAGAATTCGGAACAAAATTGGGAATGAATTCTCCATTTTAACATAAAAGAGACAAGTGTAGTTTTTGGAACATGTGCTGTTGTGTGCCATTGTTGCTACACACTTGCCTTGTACTGTGGCAGGTGTGTACCATCATTGCTACACAATTGCTTCACACATTAGCAGATGTGTGCCATCATTGCTGCACATACACTTATCTCACACTGTAGCAGATGTGCCCTAGTGTTGCTACATACTTGCCTTACACAGTGGCCTGCTAATAAAGACATCATTACTGAAAGAAACAACATTGCAAGATGTATTTTTTATATTCACTAAATGTGTATTTTCACATTCATACTCATCTAGAATAGCTTTTATTTGCAGAGCAAATTTGTATTGTGAAGAGTAGTCTGAAGTGCGTGAAGGAACACTACTCAGGTTTGGGAGATAATTATGTAACATGGCTCATAACTGTTTATTTTGGATTACCAAAGGTGTTTTCTTATTATATGTAGCTGTTTTAGTTGCCTGTATATTTCATTGTAGGTCTGTTATTTATTTACTAGCACATTTTAATGAGCTGTGATGAACATAAGGAAAGAAAAATAACAATAATGTAATTAATTTTATAAGATGTAAAGTTACATTATCAATCAGCACATACATGATTATCATGTTGTTTACTGTAGATATATTATAGCAGTAAAGTACCATTGTCATACAAGAATAGGCACACATGATTTCTTTGTTGAATGTACAACAGCCACCTTGCATAATTATGAATAGTTTGTGAATGAAAATCACTTGAAATACTGTCTGTATGAAATACCTAGCAATAAATCATAATCATTTTGCTGGTTCATTATTAAATTTAGTTTTTAATTTAATTATTAAATTCCGCGGTTGTTCAACGTCCTCCCAGCAAGCATAAGAAATATTGCCGGAACAACCGTGGACATTTTCAAGAGGAAACTAGATTTATTCCTCCAAGGAGTGCCGGACCAACCGGGCTGTGGTGGGTATGTGGGCCTGCGGGCCGCTCCAAGCAACAGCCTGGTGGACCAAACTCTCACAAGTCGAGCCTGGCCTCGGGCCGGGCTTGGGGAGTAGAAGAACTCCCAGAACCCCATCAACCAGGTATCAACCAGTTAAGTGTAACCTTGTCCCAAAACCCTCGCCATGGTTTATGAGTTACAGCCACCAATGGTAGTACTGGCTGTGGTCCATTGAAGGGCCAGCTGTAGTACATGGTAGTGCCACCTATGATGCACCATAGGTGGTGCTACCATGCACCAAAGTTGACTCAACCATGCATCACTGTTGACTCAACCATGCACTACAGGTGGCACAACCATGTCTACCTGTCAATCAACTGATGACAGCAGTTGACAGTTGAGAGGCGGGACCAAAGAGCCAGAGCTCAACCCCTGCAAACACAACTAGGTGAGTACAACTAGCTGAGTACCATGCACCACAAATGGCTCTACAATGTATCATAGGTGGCACTACCATGCACCACAGGTGGCACTACCATGTACCACAAATGGCATTACCATGTACCACAGGTGGCACTACCATGCACCACAGGTGACACTACCATATACCACAGGTGGCACTACAATGTACCACAGGTGGCATTACCATGCACCACAGGTGGCTCTACCATGCACCACAGGTGACACTACCATATACCACAGGTGGCACTACAATGTACCACAGGTGGCATTACCATGCACCACAGGTGGCACTACCATGCACCACAGGTGACACTACCATATACCACAGGTGGCACTACAATGTACCACAGGTGGCACTACCATGCACCACAGGTGGCTCTGCCATGTACCACAAGTGGCACTAGAATGTACCACAGGTGGCACTACAATGTACCACAGGTGGCATTACCATTTACCACAGGTTGCACCACAGGTGGCACTACCATACACCACAGGTGGCATAACCATGTACCACAGGTGGCACTACCATGCACCACAAGTGGCATTACAATTTACCATAGGTGGCACTACCATGCATGGTAGTGCATGGTTCACAGTAGTCTCTCTTGTCTATAGTAATGTCACCTGTGGTCCATGGTAGTGTCACCTGTGGTCTATAGTAGTCACTTGTTGTCTATAGTAATGTCACTTGTGGTCCATGGTAGTGTCACCTGCGGTCCATGGTAATGTAACCTGTGGTCCATGGTAGTGCCACCTGTGGTTCATAGTAGTATCACCTGTGGTCCATGGTAGTGTCACCTGTGGTCCATGGTAGTGTCACCTGTGGTCCATAGGTAGTGTCACCTGTGTTGGGATCTGGGACGTAACTCAAATGTAAGAATATTTAATCAAGAAAATCAATATACTCGAAGGACCACCCATTTTTGAGATCGAGGGAAAACAAAAAGATTGTAAGACTGACAGTGTGGAACCAGTGCATATGTATGTTAGATTATTTAGCAATTATTTGAAGAGCATGAATGGACTATAATAATAATTAATTGAGAGTTAAAATCCTCAAACTTTACCATTGGGGGGTTTTACTAGAAATTAATATATATCTAGGAACTAGTGTTGTTCGTCATCAGTTCATTAAGGTTGTTAGTAAAGATTATAGAATCAAAAATTAAATGAAGATTCTAAAAGATTATAATTTAGAAAATAATCAAATCTATGAAATATTAACAAATTATAGGAAATAATAGGTACAAATTTATTGAGCACTGATCAGTAAATTATTGATTTATGTTGCTTCTCTTGAATACTATATGCATAAGAAAATACATATTAGAAATAATAATGGTAAGGGTCAAATATTCTACAAAATAAGGGTTAAGGCTTAGCTGTAAGAAGACTTCACTAAACACGTTTCACTACTCATAGCCGTGATCACATTGTCCAAATAAAGGAGGAAATACCAGTGGTGAACATCGTAGGTAGAGGAAGGAATGCTTGGTTCATCCTCACCTACATGGTTGTGTTTGTGGTCGGCGGATGTTATAACGACAGGCTACCCACAGTAATAAACTATAAAATGATGCATCAAACTACAATGTATACTTATCGTAGGCATGTTAGAACACTTAGGCCAGCCGATATCACGTCTGCAAGTCCCTGACATTGACTGCTATGGATGATTAATTTCGGGACGTGACTATCTTCGTAGACGCGTAATTAAACAAACTAATGCTGTACGACCACGTGATCTTGGTGTAATGGCTGCCGCTTGCTGAGGCGCGTGAACTCGTGGCGGAGCCATATGCTTGGAAGAGGCCTCCCTCATGCCCCAACGCCCGAGCACGCATGTGCAGAGACACTCATAGTGATCCCGGACTTAAACCAATTCGATTTACTATTAATTATTTGGGGAAATGAAGTAGTACAACTTAAACTATCATCACCAATAAATATATTGGATAATAATACCTCTTCTCATAAGGCAATTGATCTAATTAACATTGCACAAATTGAACTAGAAGGGTCGACGTGTATTTACTTTACGCCACAGTTATATTTTACTGGAATAATTAATTTGATTGAATAGCCGAGCTCAGTATACATAAGCATGCGAAATGGTTATTTCTTTTATGATGAACAATATTTTTAGAAAGAAAGGATAATTAACTGAACTCTCTATATCTCCAACATGTTTAGTTTAGTTCATTCATTATGCACCCCATCTTGTGGGCGGTAGTGGAAAGGGTTACAGAGGCACATAATGGGCTCAGGGACTGAACCCCACAATTCATTTAGCTAAGCAAGTTACAGTCTTGATGAGCTAGTTACAAAATTCAATATAAGTCGTCACATCAACAATGGGTTCGAGATCGACCTCAAGTACAGGTTCTAAATTAAGCAACTGACATATGTGGAGAGCTAGTGTCAAAATTTATATGTTTGTCCTGCACACCGCCCCCCATCCAGTGGGCAGCGGTGGATAGGTTACAATCACTTAGTTACTACCTACAGTTAGCAAACTGGGGATATTTGGCTAAAATTTCTGGTAGCAGATCATTTTGAATGAAATATTGACACATCGCTGGAACATTGGTTATAGAATTGTGTCTAAATTCATGTATCTTTTCGCACTCCATCACATAGTGACGGAGGGTGTGCGAATAATTTTGTTGACACAGTTTACATTTGGTCAGGTCTACATCAGCAGATAATGAGAATTCCCAGAGATACTTGTAACCGAGTCTAAGCCGAGCAGCAGTAACGGGAGACTTCATGTTTAAGTGCTATCGACGCCTGGTGTCATGATGACTGGGAATTTTCTGGCTAAATTGTGCCTTACTATGGAAACGCTAACGCTATTAATTCTACATGTTAGTGTTATTAGTAAATATTAATATTAGGAGTTAAGGAAAAATAATCTGTTGGTTATTTCCAATATAACTCCGGGGGGGGGGGGGAATTCTCGAGTCGCAGTGCAATATTGAGTACTGACGTACCTGAATTCTTCTTAGGGAGCCGGTCGGCCGAGCGGACAGCACACTGGACTTGTGATCCTGTGATCCCGGGCGCCGGCGAGAAACAATGGGCAGAGTTTCTTTCACCCTATGCCTCTGTTACCTAGCAGTAAAATAGGTACCTAGGTGTTAGTCAGCTGTCATGGGCTGCTTCCTGGGGGTGGAGGCCTGGTCAAGGACCAGGCCGCGAGGACACTAAAGCCCCGAAATCATCTCAAGATAACCTCAAGAAGATTCCCAGAACTTATATATTATAAGTTAGTATGTTAGTGCATTAGTACACACAATATGGATGTCCCGACTCTGTTAGCAACAGATAAGACTCTAAGTCTTCTTAGGGAACTTATATTAAATGTTGAATGATTAAGTTATCTGTAATCAAGAACTCTCTAAAGTTGTAGACTCAACAACTAGGGTCACAGTGACATGTAATGGTTGCATTACATAGTTGCTGAATTGTAGGTAAACTCAGAAAATGTTCTCAAGAATAGATAACATTATTGTATAAGTTGTATTCCACATTATTATACAGTAATTAAAGTACTATTCATTGGGTCATTCAAGATCAAGGAGACTTAACAGTTCAGACAAATACAGGAAGAATTCCCTCCCTCATTTCACTGAGGGAGGGAACCCTGACGTAAGCCTAATTTTGCAAAAACTTAATCATGGCGAGGATCAATATGAAATATTAGACGAAGTATTTTCAATTAGAGGCCAAACTCAGACTGTTACACAGGAAGAGGTGGAAGTTCTTGTAAATTCATGGGTTGACGAAATGTCTGCTAAAATTGACGAATGTCTAAAAAATGTCCAATCCTCAAGCGTAGGAATTCATTCCATGTCGGGCTTTGCCATTAATTTTTCATATATTCGCCACCCTATGCACCTTGGATCATATGTACCATATCCTGCAAAATTAAAGGGCAAAGAATCAGTATTTAATCCTGAAAGTGAAGGAGATGAGTGTTTGTTACAGTGCATTGCAGCGTATAAAAACTTAGCATTGGGCAGGACTATAAAAAAACGTTAGAAAATATTACAAAAACCTTCGATGGTGTAGAAGATTCGTAGTATGGGCAGATGAAATCAGATTCCCTGTATCATTTGATAACCTTAAGAAAATAGAGAAGCTTAACAAAATTTCTATTTATACTGTATTTATACATTAACTCATGAAAGTAACAGATACTATCTTAGTTTAGCTAGGAAAAGCCAGGAAAAGTATGCCGATAAAGTTCCTTTGTTGTTATTAGAAGGCAAGCATCTTTGTCTGATCAAGGACTTTGATAAATTTGTAAAGAGTATTAACCATAATCGGTATAAAATTCCTAACACTCATAAATTCTGCAAAATTTGCCTTTTGCATGCTCCCTTAGATGAAATTCAGGTTCACGAAGAGTCATGCACTGTATCCCAAGTATTTTTGTTCTATAATGCTAATGATAAAATCAGTTTTAAAAATTACGGTAGGACCTATAGCCCAACTCACACCGCCTATTACGATTTTGAATGTCTTTTAGACCGTCAAAATCCTAGAGGCATGGTGGAATGTAAGCATAAAGCAATTGCTTATGCTTACATGATTTTAGACAGGGAATTCAATGTCGTAGAAACGTATTCATACGTAGGCCCAGACGCGGTCAATCATTTTATTACAAAGCTAGAAGCCTCATGGAAAGCTATTCATGCTCAGCTCCCCAACTTCCCCCATGATGGGAGACCTTGACCTACATGGGGGACCTTGACCTACATGGGGGACCTTGACTTACATGGTGGATCTTGACCTACAAGGGGGACCTTGACATACAAGGGGGACCTTGACCTACATGGGGGACCTTGACCTACATGGGAGACCTTGACCTACATGGGGGACCTTGACCTACATGGGGGACCTTGACCTACATGGGGGACCTTGACCTACATGGGGGACCTTGACCTACATGGGAGACCTTGACCTACATGGGGGACCTTGACCTACATGGGGGACCTTGACCTACATGGGGGACCTTGACCTACATGGGGGACCTTGACCTACATGGGGGACCTTGACCTACATGGGGGACCTTGACCTACATGGGAGACCTTGACCTACATGGGGGACCTTGACCTACATGGGGGACCTTGACCTACATGGGGGACCTTGACCTACATGGGGGACCTTGACCTACATGGGGGACCTTGACCTACATGGGAGACCTTGACCTACATGGGGGACCTTCAGATTCAGATTCAGATGTTTATTCAGGTAAGGTATATACATACAAGTGATGTTACATTAATGGATTGATATATAGATAGAGCTAGCACATACAATGCCTAAAGCCACTATTACGCAATGCGTTTCGGGCAAGAAAAACATTAATATCTAGAACTTAATACTAATTGAGCATAAAGAATAAAAAGTGTTGAGAACAAATACAAATAAAGATAAAAAAAGGGGGAACATGACTGAAAAAGCAGCACAAATACAATAGGTTGACAAACAGTGTTGATTAAAAAAAAAAAAAAATAACAGACATGGGTTGACAATAGAGGAGTGAGGTAGATTACAGGGAATTTATTACGTAGTGTTTAGTTTTTATCTTAAACTGGTTGAGAGAGGTACAGTCTTTAACATGGTTGGGAAGGTCATTCCACATTCTGGGCCCCTTGATTTGCAGAGCATTTCTAGTTTGATTAAGACGTACTCTAGGAATATCAAAACTGTATTTATTTCTGGTGTGGTGCTCATGGGTTCTGCTACAACCTTCTATGAAGCTTTTAAGATCAGGATTGGCATTATAGTTTAGCGTTTTAAATACGTATAATACACTTGAGAGAATGTGCAGTGACTTAATATCTAACATATTCAGAGATTTGAGTAGGGGTACCGAGTGATGTCTGGGGCCAGAGTTGGATATTGTTCTAATAGCAGCTTTGTGTTGGGTAATTAGAGGACGTAAGTGATTTTGGGTAGTAGAACCCCAAGCACAAATACCATAGTTGAGATAAGGATAGATAAGGGAGTAATAGAGAGTCACCAGGGCAGGGCGTGGTACATAATATCTGATCTTAGAAAGAATGCCCACAGTTTTTGAAACTTTTTTTGATATATTTAGAATGTGTCCCTGGAAATTCAGCTTGTGGTCAATGAGAATGCCAAGGAATTTGCCATCTAATTTGTTACAAATTTGGGTATTGTTTATTTTGAGATTTATATGACTAGAGGATTTATTGCCAAACAGAATATAGAAAGTTTTGTCAATGTTAAGGGTGAGTTTGTTGGCAGTTAGCCAAAGATGGACTTTATTTAGCTCAGTATTTACTGTGGCATTTAGAGCAAGAGGGTCAGGACTGGAGTAAATGAAGGTTGTGTCGTCAGCAAATAGAATTGGTTTGAGGTGTTGGGAGGCATTTGGAAGGTCATTAATGTAGATGAGAAAGAGGAGAGGGCCAAGTATGCTGCCCTGAGGAACACCAATGTTGATGGGTAGGGTGGGAGAAATTGTATTATTCACAGAAACATATTGGAGCCTGTCAGTAAGGTAGGACTCGAGGTATTGTAGGGAGTGTCCTCTGACTCCATAATGATGTAATTTAAGAAGAAGGTTATGGTGGTTGACAGTATCAAAAGCTTTACGCAGGTCCACAAATAACCCAACAGGGAACTCCTTTTTATCAAGAGCTGTATGAATCGAGTTAAGCATACTAATAAGTGCATCGTTAGTGCTTTTTTTGGGTCTGAAGCCATATTGGCAAGGGCTAAGTATATTGAGTTTGGCTAGATATGAGTAAAGCTGCTTATATATAAGTTTTTCAAAAAATTTTGACAAGTTAGGCAGGATTGATATAGGTCTGTAGTTGTTAACATCTGTGGGGTCACCACATTTGTGGACAGGCGTTACTCTCGCTTTTTTTAGAATATCTGGAAAGGTTTGGAGTTCAAGTGACTTGACCTTGACCTTGTAGGACCTTGACCTACATGGGAGACCTTGACCTACATGGGGGACCTTGACCTACATGGGGGACCTTGACCTACATGGAGGACCTTGACCTACATGGGGGACCTTGACCTACATGGGGGACCTTGACCTACATGGGGGACCTTGACCTACATGGGGGACCTTGACCTACATGGAGGACCTTGACCTACATGGGGGACCTTGACCTACATGGAGGACCTTGACCTACATGGGGGACCTTGACCTACATGGGGGACCTTGACCTACATGGGGGACCTTGACCTACATGGGAGACCTTGACCTACATGGGGGACCTTGACCTACATGGGGGACCTTGACCTACATGGGGGACCTTGACCTACATGGGGGACCTTGACCTACATGGGGGACCTTGACCTACATGGGAGACCTTGACCTACATGGGGGACCTTGACCTACATGGGGGACCTTGACCTACATGGGGGACCTTGACCTACATGGGGGACCTTGACCTACATGGGGGTCCTTGACCTACATGGGGGACCTTGACCTACATGGGGGACCTTGACCTACATGGGGGACCTTGACCTACATGGGGGACCTTGACCTACATGGGAGACCTTGACCTATATGGGAGACCTTGACACGGGTCAATGCTATTTCGAGGGACCGAGACGTCGTCGTGTCTTCATCTTGTGGTGTATGGTTTGGTCATCATATCTTCAGCCACGTTATTGTGACTCACAGTCTGCTATTTCTACTTTCCTGATAATTTATTGTGTTAATGTTTAAGTATTGTTAGGTTTGTTTCTCTGAATACTTTAAAAGGTGGTCAAATGTTTTAATGGGTTGTTGTGTTAATGTTTGAGAATGTTTTATTAATATAAATATCAGCATATTCACGGCTGTGTGAATACTGTATAAATAATATCTACGACACACGAAGCGAGACAAGTGATTTTACCCAACCACTTGAGCTGGACGGTAGAGCGATGGACTGGCTTCATGCAGGTCGGCGTTCAATCCTGGACAGTCCACAAGTGGTTGGGCACCATTCCTTCCTTCCCGTTCCATCCCAAATCCTTATCCTGACCCCTTCCCAGTGCTATATAGTCGTAATGGTTTGGCGCTTTCTCCTCATAGTTCATTAATTCATTCATTGAGAGATGATTGAGGTGTGTGTGTGTGTGTGCTCCGTGCTCCAGCATCTCCGTCACGTCACATTGGCTCTTGACGTTTCCGATATTCCTGCTGGTAATTTGGTCCTTCGTCGAAGCGTCAAGATGCTCATCCATCAAGACGGTACACGAGTAAGGAACGGCAACAACAAGAGGGGAAGATATGGCAGTACTTGTAACATGCTTGTAACATGGCTTGTAACGTCACCCTCACCAGACTTTGGTCAGCATGTGAGCATAACAAAGTAACACAAGAGACCAACTTACTAAAGATTATCCAGATAATAATAAAAAGCCGTTCTATTTATTGTTAAATTTATTAAATACGTCTATAATATTGTTCAATGATAACATTATGGGCCCTATTGAACTAATGTTCATAATGAAATGATGAAAGAAATAACAATGTATTGTAGAATTCGAACCCCTAGACTAAGAATTCCTTGTGACTCCACACTCCCAGTTGCTTCCAGGCCAAGCTAGGCCTATTAGTATGAGAGGTGTTGACAGGACTAGTTAGACGCGGGTCTCTGGAGGCCCTCTAGTAATACTGGAGAGGAACGCTGGCATCTTAAGAACACACTCAACTTTCACTTCTTCTCAAGACGTTATTTACAAGTTCTCTGTGGCTCTCCTCTTCCGGCCGAACGTGTGACTGAAACCAAGTCCAAAACTGTTGGACCTGTTGGAAATAAAGTTTTGCTTTAACATTTAAATGAAATAATAATTAATGAAGGTTCCTCACGAGACAAACTTTGAGCTGCGATGAAAATATCAAATGTAATCTTACGAGGAAATGCAGACTTTATAACACTTATAAACTGTATATGAATACATGACAATATCTATAGTAATGACACTGGCGGATGTTGTAATTGATCATTTGCTCATGTTTATAGAAAAGGGTGTAGCAGGTGTTTAGATTGAAGCGTGTAGCAGGTGTTTAGATTGAAGGGTGTAGCAGGTGTTAACAGCGAAGTGTGACGAGAACAGCTGGAAGAGAGGCCTACCTGCGGCCTCCACCCCGGGAGTGTTGAAAACCGGCGGTGATGGAGGTCTGCTTGTTGGGCTTGAACTCGTAACCCAAATTGGCTCCCACGTTCCTCTCGCTCCCAAGGCTGCATCATGGTATACAGATTACTACATTATCTGTGCTACTGTATAATTTATTGTACTGAATCTTTGTTTATATGATCTAGATATAGATAAATATTTATCAACAAAACAAAAACTGTACTAAATTAACAAAACTTTACTTGCGCATTTTACTGTTTATATATTTCAACTTTGAGTTAAAATACTGAGCCAAAGTGCACCAACAGTTTACAATAACAATGATAAACAGTGGAATATGGTTATCTTACCCGGGAACTTTGGTGCGGTCAACACTGAGGCCGCCTTGGATTGTGTGTTTGTTGAAGGTGTGACCCAAGTTGATGCTTGCGCTGTCTCGCCGAGCCCTGCAACACATGCAACACTTCATATGTTATAGTTTCCCAGACCCTTTCAACACACTACATGTCATAGTCCCTAGACCTTTACAATACAGACACACTACATATTATAGTCCCCTGAGCCTTGCAACACATAGAACACTACACACGTTAGTCCTATATTACACCTCTCTGCCTTTCTTATAACATTTACACAACTCTTCCTCCAATGATTTTATTAGCAATTCGTTACACAAGTATAATATATTAAGCTGTGAGGAGAGTCCACTTACCCACCACCCAGGTGTTCAGTGTTGGCGGATCCGGATACTGTGGTCTGTCGCTTTCTTCGTTCATGACTCAAACCATCTTCACCAGAGTTTAGGGACGGTTCTCGTCCCTCGTCTTGCACCAAATATGGATCAAGCTCCTCGTCCGACGTGTAAATTGGCGCCAGATTGGTATCTTGTGTCGGTGTGTTGGTGAGCTGCAGTGACGAGCCCTGGAGGGGGCTGCCTGTCACCACTGCTAGGAGCAGGGCGCTCACTGTGAGTGTTGTCTGCATGTTAGACTCTTGCTGAGGACAGTGGTGACGGACTCTCGGCTCCAGCAGGTTATATAGATCAGGATAACCAATGGGAATCTCCCGCACCCACTGACAGCATAAATAACCATTTCAGAATTACGGGAACTTGCCGTTGATCTCACACAATGCTTCACCGGGCACTCCGGAACCAGTTTTCCGAGAACTCTGAGTTCATGCCGCTAGTAAAATATATTTACACAATAATTGGATCCCTTCCTTATGCGTCAGCATTTTTTCTTTTTCTTTTTTGTAAATAAGAATATATTTGATCCTTTTCGTTTTATTTTGAACATTTTCATGGCTCGTTGAGATTCCTGCTCTAGACTGATGATATTCTGAAGGCGGGAGAAGGGCGGAGTGCTGGAGGATGATGACGGTGAAGGTGAGTGCTGGAGGATGATGACGGTGAAGGTGAAGGTGAGTGCTGGAGGATGATGACGGTGAAGGTGAGTGCTGGAGGATGATGACAGTGAAGGTGAGTGCTGGAGGATGATGACGGTGAAGGTGAGTGCTGGAGGATGATGACGGTGAAGATGAGTGCTGGAGGATGACGGGGCAAGGTGAGTGTACCGACCTCTTTGTATTGGTTCTGGAAGCATTTTTTGCGTGTGTTGCTGAGTGAGGGTTCTCAGCGCACGCCTTCCTGGTGTGTGTGTGACGTGTGTGAGGTCCTGTGTTATTGTGCACCCCATACTCCTCCTCTCCTTCCCTCTCTCCCACCCTCTCCATCTTTCTCCCCTCTCCATATTTCATACTTCTCGTCCCTTTCCCCTCTCTCTCTCTCTCTCTCTCTCTCTCTCTCTCTCTCTCTCTCTCTCTCTCTCTCTCTCTCTCTCTCTCTCTCTCTCTCTCTCTCTCTCTCTCTCTCTCTCTCTCTCTCTCTCTCTCTCTCTCTCTCTCTCTCTCTCTCTCTCTCTCTCTCTCTCTCTCTCTCTCTCTCTCTCTCTCTCTCTCTCTCTCTCTCTCTCTCTCTCTCTCTCTCTCTCTCTCTCTCTCTCTCTCTCTCTCTCTCTCTCTCTCTCTCCTCTCTCTCTCTCTCTCTCTCTCTCTCTCTCTCTCTCTCTCTCTCTCTCTCTCTCTCTCTCTCTCTCTCTCTCTCTCTCTCTCTCTCTCTCCCACAAGTGCCCAACCACTTGTGGACTGTCCAGAATTGAACGCCGACCTGCATGAAGCCAGTCCATCGCTCTACCGTCCAGCTCAAGTGGTTAGGTAAAATCACTTGTCTCGCTTCGTGTGTCGTAGATATTATTTATACAGTATTCACACAGCCGTGAATATGCTGATATTTATATTAATAAAACATTCTCAAACATTAACACAACAACCCATTAAAACATTTGACCACCTTTTAAAGTATTCAGAGAAACAAACCTAACAATACTTAAACATTAACACAATAAATTATCAGGAAAGTAGAAATTCAGATTCAGATTCAGATTCAGATTCAGATGTTTATTCAGGTAAGGTATATACATACAAGTGATGTTACATTAATGGATTGATATATAGATAGAGCTAGTACATACAATGCCTAAAGCCACTATTACGCAATGCGTTTCGGGCAAGAAAACATTAATATCTAGAACTTAATACTAATTGAGCATAAAGAATAAAAGATGTTGAGAACAAATACAAATAAAGATAAAAAAAAAAGGGGGGAAACATGACTGAAAAAGCAGCACAAATACAATAGGTTGACAAACAGTGTTGATTAAAAAAAAAAAAAGAAAATAACAGACATGGGTTGACAATAGAGGAGTGAGGTAGATTACAGGGAATTTATTAGGTAGTGTTTAGTTTTTATCTTAAACTGGTTGAGAGAGGTACAGTCTTTAACATGGTTGGGAAGGTCATTCCACATTCTGGGCCCCTTGATTTGCAGAGCATTTCTAGTTTGATTAAGACGTACTCTAGGAATATCAAAACTGTATTTATTTCTGGTGTGGTGCTCATGGGTTCTGTTACAACCTACTATGAAGCTTTTAAGATCAGGATTGGCATTATAGTTTAGCGTTTTATATATGTATAATACACATGAGAGAATGTGCAGTGACTTAATATCTAACATATTAAGAGATTTGAGTAGGGGTACCGAGTGATGTCTGGGGCCAGAGTTGGATATTGTTCTAATAGCGGCTTTGTGTTGGGTAATTAGAGGACGTAAGTGATTTTGGGTAGTAGAACCCCAAGCACAAATACCATAGTTGAGATAAGGATAGATAAGGGAGTAATAGAGAGTCACCAGGGCAGGGCGTGGTACATAATATCTGATCTTAGAAAGAATGCCCACCGTTTTTGAAACTTTTTTAGATATATTTAGAATGTGTCCCTGGAAATTCAGCTTGTGGTCAATGAGAATGCCAAGGAATTTGCCATCTAATTTGTTACAAATTTGGGTATTGTTTATTTTGAGATTTATAAGACTAGAGGATTTATTGCCAAACAGAATATAGAAGGTTTTGTCAATGTTAAGGGTGAGTTTGTTGGCAGTTAGCCAAAGATGGACTTTATTTAGCTCAGTATTTACTGTGGCATTTAGAGCAAGAGGGTCAGGACTGGAGTAAATGAAGGTTGTGTCGTCAGCAAATAGAATTGGTTTGAGGTGTTGGGAGGCATTTGGAAGGTCATTAATGTAGATGAGAAAGAGGAGAGGGCCAAGTATGCTGCCCTGAGGAACACCAATGTTGATGGGTAGGGTGGGAGAAATTGTATTATTCACAGAAACATATTGGAGCCTGTCAGTAAGGTAGGACTCGAGGTATTGTAGGGAGTGTCCTCTGACTCCATAATGATGTAATTTAAGAAGAAGGTTATGGTGGTTGACAGTATCAAAAGCTTTACGCAGGTCCACAAATAACCCAACAGGGAACTCCTTTTTATCAAGAGCTGTATGAATCGAGTTAAGCATACTAATAAGTGCATCGTTAGTGCTTTTTTTGGGTCTGAAGCCATATTGGCAAGGGCTAAGTATATTGAGTTTGGCTAGATATGAGTAAAGCTGCTTGTATATAAGTTTTTCAAAAATTTTTGACAAGTTTGGCAGGATTGATATAGGTCTGTAGTTGTTAACATCTGTGGGGTCACCACATTTGTGGACAGGCGTTACTCTCGCTTTTTTAGAATATCTGGAAAGGTTTGGAGTTCAAGTGACTTGTTGAAGAGCAAAGCAATAGCAGGGGCTAAAGATCTGGAGGCTTTTTTGTAAATTAAAGTTGGTATCTCCTCAAGGGCACTAGACTTGGTTTAAGGGAAAGGATTATCTCATTGACGTCAGTGGAGTTAATAGGCTTTAGGTACAGAGACTGTGGATAGTTACCTGTAAGATAGTCCTTAATGTCAGTACTGGAAGATGGAATATCATTTGCAAGGGATGAACCAATGGAAGAGAAGAACCTATTAAACTCAATAGCAGAATCAGAGGCTGAAAGCTGACCATCGTTATTAGACAGGAGAGTCGGTTTGTTATTTAAAGATTTCTTTGATCCCAATATTTGTGAAATTGTGCTCCAAGTTTGTTTAATGTTGCTCTTTATTTGAGTAAATTTATCTTCGTAGTAATTAGTTTTGGCTCGTCTAATTATCTTAGTTAGCAATAATGAGTAATTCTTTGAGAATTCTTTGGAGACAATTCCTAACCTATACTTCTTCTCAAGGTCGTGTTTTTTGTTAATGGATTTCAGTATTCCCTTTGTAAGCCAAGGATTGTTAAGCCTTTTGGTTGTGACTTGTTTTGTAAGCCTAGGACAGTGGGTGTTATAAAGGCTAAGAGTTGTTTGTAGAAAAGATTGCACTTTTTGTTTGTTAAAAAGAAAAAAGTTTGTAAAAAAGAAATAGCAGACTGTGAGTCACAATAACGAGGCTGAAGATATGATGACCAAACCATACACCACAAGATGAAGACACGACGACGTCTCGGTCCGTCGAAATAGCATTGACCCGTGTCAAGGTCTCCCATATAGGTCAAGGTCTCCCATGTAGGTCAAGGTCTCCCATGTAGGTCAAGGTCCCCCATGTAGGTCAAGGTCCCCCATGTAGGTCAAGGTCTCCCATGTAGGTCAAGGTCTCCCATGTAGGTCAAGGTCCCCCATGTAGGTCAAGGTCCCCCATGTAGGTCAAGGTCCCCCATGTAGGTCAAGGTCCCCCATGTAGGTCAAGGTCCCCCATGTAGGTCAAGGTCCCCCATGTAGGTCAAGGTCCCCCATGTAGGTCAAGGTCTCCCATGTAGGTCAAGGTCCCCCATGTAGGTCAAGGTCCCCCATGTAGGTCAAGGTCTCCCATGTAGGTCAAGGTCCCCCATGTAGGTCAAGGTCCCCCATGTAGGTCAAGGTCTCCCATGTAGGTCAAGGTCCCCCATGTAGGTCAAGGTCCCCCATGTAGGTCAAGGTCCCCCATGTAGGTCAAGGTCCCCCATGTAGGTCAAGGTCCCCCATGTAGGTCAAGGTCCCCCATGTAGGTCAAGGTCCCCCATGTAGGTCAAGGTCCCCAATGTAGGTCAAGGTCCCCCATGTAGGTCAAGGTCCCCCATGTAGGTCAAGGTCCCCCATGTAGGTCTAGGTCCCCCATGTAGGTCAAGGTCTTCCCTAATAACAGCCCAAGAAGCCAAAGTGGGAAACAAAAATCTTGTAATATATTGCCTGATAACTGAGTCACACTTGGCTAGGTCTTCAAGGTCAGTGAGTCAAACTGACAGTCTCTCGCCAGATCACTGTCTCAAACTGACAGTCTCTCGCCAGATCACTGTCTCAAGCTGACAGTCTCTCGCCAGATCACTGTCTCAAACTGACAGTCTCTCGCCAGATCACTGTCTCAAGCTGACAGTCTCTCGCCAGATCACTGTCTCAAACTGACAGTCTCTCGCCAGATCACTGTCTCAAGCTGACAGTCCCACACCAAGTCACTGTCTCAAGCTGACAGTCCCACACCAGGTCACTGTCTCAAGCTGACAGTCCCACACCAGGTCACTGTCTCAAGCTGACAGTCCCACACCAGGTCACTGTCTCAAGCTGACAGTCCCACACCAGGTCACTGTCTCAAGCTGACAGTCCCACACCAGGTCACTGTCTCAAGCTGACAGTCCCACACCAGGTCACTGTCTCAAGCTGACAGTCCCACACCAAGTTACTGTCTGAAGCAACTCACACAACAGAGGACATGCAGCATCTCCACATTCACGAG